CAGATTTTATATCATACCCTCACAACGCTTTTCGAGTCTCAAGAATTCTGTAAATGGCGCTTTAGATGGAAAAATCGGAAAGCTTTTTTTGCGTGGGGAGGGGGGGAAAGGAGCATGGCTCCGGACCCCTTGCGCCATTGGCGTTAAAGGTTACCAGAATAGTGTACAACACACCCTTTAGAGATTCTTGGATCTGCCCCTGATGCCAAATAATTTTTTGGTGTTGATACCTGTCAGGTGATGCCTGTCCGACACAAAGCAAATCTGGTTGGTATTCTAACCCAACTCTTTATCAGAGTTCAGCGATTGGAAGATGTAGACCTTAACCTGAAGGGAAGAACATTCTTAAAACACATTCAAACAAGTGCATTACCAAGGCATGCCTTTACACCTCTAATTGTTTTGGAATAGAATTCTCATAAGTTCCATTCCTAGCTGTGGATTAAGAAAAGCAACGATAATGATGGTAGTGGGTTGATCAAGTTAATTGGTAATAATGGTATGACATTTGGATTGCTTGCTGTGTTAAGTGTAATGGGATGTTGATACTGTTCCAGCAGTTGATGTGAGGACCCTCCAAAGAGTATTTTCGTTCCGATCAGAATGCCCATCCTTGGAAGTCTTGAATACTTAAAGTAATGTGTAAAGATGATTTCAAAGGATTGTTGGCTAAGTTTTCAGAGCGAAAGCAGCCTACTTATGCTTCTGAGTTATAAACTGGAGGGATTGTTGTCAAACATGGGCAAGTATGTTAAGGGACGTTGTCATGACATGTAGAACTTCTCTAGATAATGAATTGACTTTGAAAATAGCATTACTCAGTAAACCCAATCTTTTATCATCTTCACTCATGTCAGAAGGAAACTGAAGCATGTAAATAACTCGTGTGGCACTCAGTTGATCAAAAACTATCTTTGGTCAGCTGATGACATCCTGAATGATAATTCATTGAATTACCATCATTTTGTTATTCTAAAAACTGCTGAAACCTTTCTGAAGATCCAATAAAACTGCATCCAATGCATCTGCTTCTTTTTTAGGGGGGGGAGAGGGAAAGAGTGTAAAAGACACTCAACATATGCTTTACCATCTACACTGATCTCCACAGTAAGCTTTTAGGAGAACAGGGAAAGAGCAGCCTGGGTTAACAGGGTAAGGCATCCTGGGGAGAGCTGCTGCTTTTTTCAGGAAACATCTCCTTTAACAGATCCAGTCCTTCCTGATTGGTTCCATGAAGCCTTCATATAGATGGGCCAGCAATTGAAAGGTATGAAGCAGTTGTGTTAGAGCTACATCTCTCACCAGGAAGTTAACTTGAGCTTGAGGCTCCACCCTATGGATGTGAACCTTGGGGAGGAATGTCAATGTCATGGTAAAGGGCGGTAGAGATATCACTTTCTGGTTGAATATAAATGCTTCCCTGTATAGCAAGCCTGAGGACATGTGAAGCAGTGAAATACAGGCCATGGCTAACTTTGGTGATACTATTAATTCCTAGTAGGACTTCATGAATTGAAATTTGTCTCTCCAACAACTCTGATTTGAGCCCTGAAATCTTCCTCTTGCAGAGACTTGTCAACTGGGAAGGCATGTATGACAAAACCGCTGTTTTCCATCAGCCATTGCATTTGATGAGTGGGTACCAACCTAGCATCAGGGGAAGGCAGAAGGACCACATCTTTATGCACAACATCCTTATTGGCCTTCTTCCCACCAAATGATAATCTCTTTCCAAATGGTAGGAAATAAGTTTCACAAATGAGTGGCAACTGCTGTGTTATCTGTGTCAACACTGGCCATGGGCCTTGCAATGGTCGGTAAGGACAATTGAATTGTTGGTAATGACCTCAACTTTAGCTGCAACAGTGGTTGCTCAATTGATTACACATTTGTATCATTAAAATTTTCAAGTAATGATCTCCCCAGCATGCGATATTTGAGTCTCTTGAGAACCTTCTTTAGCGTCTTTCATTGCAACAGGATCCTGTGAAAGAAGAGCAAAGACCCTTGGAATTAGGTTTATAATAGTGTCTATGTCCAATACTGGAAAAATTGGCAAACTTCCCGATTGGAACTTTGTATGGATATTGTATGGATTTTTGAGTGGAAATTGACTATTTTCCAAAGATGGAAATAGTACAAGTTTTCCAAACATGGATTTTTTCTTCATACCAATTTGGATTTTTAAGATACCGAACTTGGATTTCCAAAATTTGGGTGAGAACATCATACTTGGAAATAAATAAAACCTTGAAATTAAGAGATCCGGGTTCAAGTCCCGAACAGGCCTGGATTTTTTTTCAGGTCCTTTTTTCAACTACTCATTTTAGTAGTTTTCTTAGCTGTGAGGATCTCTTAATTTCATTTCTTCACAGCAGTGCAAATATATGAATTTTCATATATCTAAAATCATTAAATAAAACCTTTTTTTGGATTTTTTGGTAACAGGTCAACATACTGGGATTTTCCTTCTCCCAAACATAGATTTTCTCTTTTCTCCTACTTGGATTTTGATGGAATCCAATAAGTAAAGTGAGAAAACCAGACTTGTGTATGTTGCTACTAAATACATGTTTGTATTGTGTCTAAACAAATTTGGTTTCTAAACATTTTCCCTATTTTGGAAAGATGGAAAACCATAATGAAAGTAATGTAATTCCATGGTTGGTATTCAGCATACCAAACTAGGTTTATGGAGTATTTGCAGCCCTCCCACCTGGGAAATTTTAATAGCCAATCTAAACCACGGTAAACTATATGGATTTGTAACACTTCAGCTGTCTATTTCTTGGGCCAAGACCAATGTAATGTAACATATCTAACAGAGTAGAAAAATAAACAGATTTTAGCAAACTCTCTGCTAATTTTTTATTGTAACTTCAAAAATATCATCTACTTTTGCATCTAAGCCAATAAAATTGATGCAAATTAATAAAGATTTATCAAATAACAAAGTTGCTGACAATAACTACAACTGAACTGTTGCATGCTCATGCATGTGACAGTGTTATTTGTTTCAGGTAAAGTAGTTCAAAGTTAATGTCGACTGCTGCCCTTCACTATAAGGTTATCTTGAACTGGGCTGACAGATACATGACGAAGTTAAAAACTGTTCACACTTCATGTACCAGAAAAAAAGCAGTAGCAAATTCTTAAGAACTATCCTGAAATAGAATGCTCTCTATTGCATTGTGAAAAAAACATAGTCATTAAAACAGACATTGCCTTTGGTTGTTTCAAACATAGTGGATTGGTCCAACGTTAGATAAACTGCAAATGTTTTCAGACAAACATGGGAAGATAAAAAAAAAAAAAAACAATATTGTCTGGCCCCACCGATGCACTTTCAGCTTCAAAGTCAACAGTAACTCTCTGGTCCTGCAGGAGTACCTTGCTCCACAGAAATATTACAAAATGCGAACATTTTCACCTAATTGTGGCTGCAAGACTACTTAAACATAGAATACAGTCAAGCATATATTTTAAGAAAATTTTGCTGTCATGTATGTACATACACAAGGTGCCCAAAAACCACAAATTCCCAAAAGATCTCCTTGAAAAATGACAATGAAAAAACTGAATTTTTTTGACAAGCATGTTAAAGATGAAAACTCAAGAACACTTCTGAGCCGAGCTAAATATACACTTAAACCTTAAATTTCAACAGTAAACTATCTACCCTTGCAAAAGTATCTTGCGGAATTGGAACACATTACCACCTACTTGGTATGGCAAGTCTACTCAAACATCCAGTTATCAAAAACAATCCTGCATACCTATAAATCTAAGGTTGTCACTACTAGGCACATACTCAGCAATTAAGAGTCCTTAACTATAGACTCTTCCATAATAATCTCCTTGACTACTTTAACATCACCACGAGTCACTGATCACTGATCTTCCTCCTCCAATTCACGTATGGTAATGTAGCCCTTGTTGTGGAGTGAATTTGCAATCGCTCTGACGTGAGTCATCTAGTCCTTGCCTTGTAAAAGTTTATGATTGAGTAGTGTTCAATACTACGAGTAACTGTTTGAGACTTAGGCAAACTGGGTGACGGAGGGACAGGGGATACCAGTGGTGGCATAGTTGATGGCATAGCACAATGGGGTGAAGTTTCCATGTGAGTTTCATCGGGTGCAGGTGATGTAGGTGTTGCTGGTGCTGGTGACGGAGGGTTTTCCACTGACCTTGCTGGAGTCTGGGATATTGGAGGTGTAACCATTGATGAATTGGGTAGTAGTTGGTCGGGAAGAGTTGGCTTAGCCCAGCTGCAAAATGAAGAGTTACTTGAGTCACTTCGGGGTGGAGCTAGTTAAACTTAAACACGGTTTTGTCTGATTTGGCTTTTGCCATTATCAATGAGGTAGGATCAAGGACCAGCATGACCAACTATTTTTCCTCAAGGGTGGGTATGGGGTAAGTAGGTGGGATGATGGCGTTCTTGACATTTTGTGAGGGGTCCAAACAGATATGAACTTTAGCTGGTTTAGTGGCAGATATAGGATGCTCACGAACAACCATATAGAGATCCAGGGAGTTGGTTCATCTACTTGAATCAACTGACCAGTTTGAATAAGCTTATCCAAGGCCCCCTTGATAGTAGGCAGTTAAGGTGCAGCATAACGGTAGTGAGGTGCTCGGATGGGCTTCACATCGGGATTGAGGGTGATCGAAAAAGGTTCACTCAGTTTGCCTGAGCACTCAAACAATTCTGGATTTGCAAGTTTGATGTAATCTAGGGTTAACTCACCGAGAGAAGAAGAAGACGTTTGAGTAGACTCCAGGTGATTAGCAGTGTCCACATCATAATGGATAATGCCCTCATGCGGATGCTGTCAGCCAATCCTTAGAGGGGGGCATAATAATGCTCCGCAGTGATTAATTGGACAATAATCTTGTATGATTTCCCATGCCAAAGTGTACTGTAATGTGGTTTGCCCCGAGGTTGGGATGACTGACTTTGAGTAGTCAAGGAGGCAGACAGAGGACAGATCCACTCACAGGGGAGAGCTTGTTGAGGTCAGTGACATGTATAGTGTTGCAGGAGTAACCAGAGTCAATCTGAGCCGTTTGGGAGAGGCTGGTGTGGAAGCAGGGGGACTGAGGTCAAGGTCGAAAAAGATGCCCTTGAGTGAGTCTTGACATACAACATGTGTGATGAAGTAGTTGGACTGAGGATTGCTGTTCAAGTTCTGGTCCACATCAGATACAAATTTCACAGAAGAAGCCCTGCAAACTTGCTGCCAGTGCCTGTGTTTGCCACAGCCATGGCACATGTCATTTGATTTGGGGCAGTCATGGCGAGTGGCATGATGTACAGAAGAAGCCCTGCAAACTTGCTGCCAGTGCCCGTGTTTGCCACAGCCATGGCACATGTCATTTGATGTGGGGCAGTCATGGCGAGTGGCATGTGATGCATGTCCACACCACACACAAGTGTTTAAGTGGTTTCTATTTCAGGGCTATGGGGCCATTTAGGCTTGTTTTTGGCGGGCGTGACTTTGTTGGTAGCTTCTTCCAGGTGTTGCTGGGTGAGGGCAGAGTCAGTTTGAATGCTTGCCTCAAAATCAGGATCCTTAGAAGTGACTTGAGCAAAGGTTAGAGAAATTAAATCTTCATGAGACATGATGTCACTGTGGAAGCATTGGAAATAATCATTTAGGCCAGTAACAAAGATGTCTCTCTGCAATCTGTCATCTCCTGCTGAAGGGAAGTTGCATTTTTGGTATTCCACACACACAAGAGTATGCCATGCTTGGATAGACATTCCTGGCTCTTGTTTCAGGATACAGAGGAAATGGTGTGTACTTTGCAGGATTTTGTTTGTCCTCCTCGGTAATTCCGCTTGACTCCCATTCCGCTTGTGGGAAAGTGCGACGAAGAGCGGCCATAGCTTTGGAACGTTTAGCGGCTATCCAGTAGTCCTCGCTGTCGAAAGGTTTGGCCAGACTTATGTAATCTCCCATTACACAAAAGTCTCTGAAATTTGCCATGAAGAACTTGAATGCCCTACCGCGATCCGATGAGCTTGCATCGCTCCTTGCCCATTATGCACTGATGGCTGAACTACCAACAGAGGTCAACATCAAGGAAAAACAGAGACACACACACACAAAGCAAAGAATCGACAGGATCACTTGAGCCATGCCACGTGGAAATCCTTCAAAGTTGGAGCGATGCAATGAGGCTAAAAATGAAAAACCTTGTCAACGAAGCACAGTGAGACTGATGATCTAAGGTGTGTGTTATGATTTTCCTGACACCTTGTAACAAGTCAACAGCAGTCAAGATAATTACTCAAGTTTATTAAACAAAGCAACATGGTCGACTCACATGGGAGAAGCACTATAAAAACAAGTTGATACATTACACTTAGTTGATACATTACACTTTCCTTTAAAAAGTTTGCCTACTGAGACCCCCCTAGAATTTTCAATGACTTTGCATGGACATTTTCTGGTGCCCCATACACTAGACGAAAAAATATTATGAAACCATGTTTTACAAACCCATCCTACATTAAGGTTTGAAAACACGACAAAATTTACCTTACTTTGTCTTATCACTTGCTTCTTTTAACTTTTAAGTAGAGGTTTTGGTTCTCAAGATTAAGAAAAAAGACTGGGAGTCAATTATTCGCGGCAATAACTTCTCTAAATCCTTCACCTTCATCAAAATAAAGGTTGTACACTTTCACATGTTGCAACTGAAATGTATAGGTGGGTGGACCAGGACTTCCCTTCCTGGTCTCGGCTGACTTGATTGACTCAGATGCACTTTCTGTTGACAGCACTTCTTCTCTGGTAAGGGGTTTTTCTTTCTGCTAGCATCTGTGCTCCTTAATTTTCTTTAAAACTGTTTCCAGGACTACTTCTTTACCACGTTCACACTCGGGAAAACCTGTTCACTTGGATAGCATCTGCCTTATTTCTGTAAACTGGTAAGGCACTTCCATGTGGCCATCTATTCTCTACCTCCTTTGTTGTCATTTTTTTTCCTGGTAAAGGAGATTATTTATTAACAAACTGCTGTTTGATCTTTATATTTTTTCTGTTAGACACAGGACCACATCACATTAATTGTAACCTTAAAGAAACGTGCGTTAAGAATAGTAAGCAATTCTACATACATTGCCCATACTGGCCCTATTTTTAAGGAACTTAAACTCTTAAAATTTCATGATATCCATTCGTTTCAATTAGGTACTTTTATGTTCTCATTCGAGAACTCTACACTCCCTTCCAAATTCAGTAACTTTTTTTTACTGAATAGTCAAATCCACAATTATAATACTAGGAATGCTCAGTCCTTCCGCTTGCCACCGTGCAGAACGAACACCAGGAAGTTTTCAATTTACTTTCAAGGTCCAAACTTTTATAATTCGCTAAATTCTAACATAACTAGTTCTCCCTCCTCCGCTTCTTTTAAAAGAAAGCTTAAGGAATTTCTTCTCTCTAGGTATTAACTTCTGTAAGGCAGTAATTCTTAACTAACTTACTTAATATGAGTGTGCGTGTGTGTGTGTGTACGTCTGCGCGGTCAAAGTTAATTACCATAAGTCCATATTGTAATTCTAATATAAGATTAGTTATTTTAAGTGAGAAAGCCTGACTTGTTATAAGCCTCGTGGTTTCTTTCAGGATTTCTCGCCATTTATTTTCTGTCATCAATTTTCTTCATTTTTTTTTTCCATCTGTAAATGTTGTATATGGCAAAATAAATATTGTATTGTATTGTATTGTCATCAGAACTTAAGTTGATCATCAAGTGTTACTATAATAATTTGGAAAAGAAATTCCACTCATAACATAAATTATCATCTTAGTTTTCATCTTTGAGTGATTTTCCAAGTGGTGAGAGGTTCTTGGCATTACCAGTAATCAAATCAGTTTCATGAAAGCACAAAATAAAAATTATGTAAACATGATCCTTAGGTTAACTACCAAAATGGGACACAAGAGACTTTCCATTACTTTTTAGATTTATACCTACTTTGTATTGTAAATGCTCTTCTCTTTGCAACTAAGCTACCCTCTTTCTCTTCTGGTAAGCAGCATGTCATAATCCTTTAATGATAATCTATCAGTCTTTCTTTTAGTGCCACAAGGTATCACAAGTATCTATAAAAAAAAGCAATAATATAATATTGACAGTTCTGAGATTAGATAGAGTGATTTTATACTCTGTGTGATGAAGGAGAATACCTTGTACCAGTAATGCAGAAAATTTTAGATTACTGCAAATAGTTGTCCCCTGCTCTCTTCCCCAAAAATTCTTAAGGATGGCTTAATCTTGGCAATGCTGACGTTAAAACTATAGTTAAATAATAAGTTAGGCAAGGAAGAATATCTACCATTCACAATGGGTTTAATGGCCACCTCCAGTTTTTCAAATTTTGAATCCACTTCTAAGTGTTTTCTCAATAATGCTTTTCCATCTATCTCAATGAGTCTTTCCTTTCGAACACGCTACAAAGTCCGCACGGCTCAATGCAGATTTCCCTCCAAAGCAAATTCGCTAATGAGGGTGGGAACATGATTACACAGTTCTTTATACCAAGGCTGCTCCCATCTGATTGATTGCTGAAGCCTGCCATCCATTTGATCCATTGGCTCCTCAACCAAACTGATTGGATACTATCCTGTCAGACTGAGTGCTCATATGACAAAGATGGCGGGTCTTACACCAGCATCTTTGTGTTTCTGCACTGAAAGAAGTTCCAT